CTGGAGTTATATGTAGGAAGTGGTCCTGTGCCCATGTGTTGTAGACTACTTCCCACTTTCTCTTCTATCAGGTTCAATGTGTTCAGATTAATATTGAGGTCTTTAATCCATTTGGACTTGAGTTTTGTGCATGGTGATAGATATGGATCTATTTTCATTCTTCTACAGGTTGACATCTAGTTATGCCAGCACCATTTGTTGAAGATGCTTTCTTTCTTCCATTGTATACTTTTAGCTCCTCTGTTGAAAATCAAGTGTTTATAGGTTTGTGGGTTAATATCCAGGTCTTCTATTCGATTCCATTGGTCAACTTCTCTGTTTTTATGCCAATACCAAGCTGTTTTCATTACTGTAGCTCTGTAATAGAGTTTGAAGTCAGGGATGGTAATGCTTCCAGAAGTTCCTTTATTGTATAGAATTGTTTTGGCTATCCTTGGTTTTTTGTTTTTCCATATAAAGTTGATTATTGTTCTCTCAAGGTCTGTGAAGAATTTTTTGGGATTTTGATGGGGATTGCATTGAATTTATAGATTGTCTTTGGTAGAATTGCCATTTTTACTATGTTGATTCTACCCATCCAAGAGCATGGGAGATTCTTCCATTTTCTGGTGTCCTCTTCAATTTCTTTCTTCAATGCCTTAAAGTTCTTGTCAAATAGATCTTTCACTTCCTTGGTTAGAGTTACCCCAAGATACTTTATGCTATTTGTGGCTATTGTAAAAGGTGACGTTTCTCTGATTTCCCTCTCTGCTTCTCTATCCTTTGTGTATAGGAGGGCTACTGATTTTTTTCAAGAACTTCAAGAACTATGTTGAAGAGATATGGTGGGAGTGGACAGCCTTGTCTTGTTCCTGAATTTAGTGGAATGGCTTTGAGTTTCTCTCAATTTAATTTGATATTAGCTGTTGGCTTGCTGTATATTGCTTTTATTATATTTAGGTATAATCCTTGTATCTTTAACCTCTCCAAAACCTTTATCATAAAGGAGTGTTGAATTTTGTCAAATGCTTTTTCCGCATTTAATGAAATGATCATATGTTTTTTTTCTTTCAGTTTATTTATATGATGGATTACATTGATAGATTTTTGTATGTCGAACCAGCCCTGCATCTCAGGATGAAGCCTACTTGATCGTAATGGATAATTTTTTAAATGTGTTCTTGGATTCTGTTTGACAGTATTTTATTGAGAATTTTTGCATCAATGTTCATGAGTGAGATTGGTCTGTAATTCTCTTTCTTGGTTGGGTCTTTGTGTGGTTTTGGAATCAGGGTGACTGTAGCTTTACCATCTCATTTACAAAAGGAAATTCTTTAGAGAAAAAAGCAAATCAGCTCACAGATTTACTTCATCTTTAAACACTGCCTAATTTTTTCTCTCACCCACGGGTTATGTTCTTTGAGTACCATGCCTTCAAAGGCCTCACATCACACACCGCTGTAATTAACCACTAAGTGTGCCTCTCAACTCCTGCGTTTAAACACACACTTTCAACTCCTACATTCAGAACAAACACTCCACTGAGTGTGAATTTTTCCTTCCTTCCTTCCTTCCTTCCTTCCTTCCTTCCTTCCTTCCTTCTTTCCTGTCTTTCTTCCTTCCTTCCTTCCTCCCTCCCTCCCTTCTTTCCTTCCTTCTTTCCTGTCTTCCTTCTTTACTTCCTTCCTCCTTTTCCTATTTTTGGAGAAAGGGTCTCACTATAGCTCTGGCTGTCTTGGAACTCACTATGTTGACCAGGCTAGTCTCAAACTCACAGAGATCCACCTGCCTCCTGCTCCTTAACACTGGGATTACAGGCATGCCCCATTATGCCCACCTCGTAGCTTTACAATTGCAGCCACAAGCTTTCCCTTCTCAGACTCCCATTCTTGCTACTATTTCTGGGTCCTAACTGAATGGGGTTTTGTGGAAGGTCACCACGGCACCTTAACTGGTTGCCTTGTCATCCTCTGTGGGTGCAGCGCAGGAAGGAAAAGTCCTTTGTATTCAGAGCCATTTTCCTATTGGTTCCATCTGTGGGATGAAGTTAGAGCACCTCCTCTGGAAGGGACCACAACCATAGGAAGGCACACTCCTCTTTGGGTATGGCCCTGGCATTAAGGAAGAAACAGCTACAGGAAGTTTCTCTTCTTGGTCATAACATCAAACAATAACTCACAATATTTACTGTCTTTCTTTTTTAAGGTTTACTCTCTTAAATTATTCTTTTGACATCAGCAGGAAGTTCGCCACTCTCATGTTTCATTTCGTTCTCATAAGCAATGAGCTTAGACTCCACAGATTCGCATTACACGAGACTAAGAGCTCGGCTCCATGTGCAGCTGATAATGCCTGTAACAACTACAATCAGGGAATTGGATGTGGTCTTGTGTGTGGCGTATCCAGCACAGCTGAGGAAAATTAGTCACCTGATTGGGAAAACACCCAGAGCTCAGGAGATTGCAGTGTAAGACAGGCTAGTGCCATGCAGGTAGGAAATAAGGGGCTTTGGAATGGTCTCATGATTCTTTTGAATATTTTCTTTTTTTCTTCCCTAGTTCTTTAGATATGTAAAGCAAACACTGGGACAAGGCAAAGCTCTGTATAATCAAACATTCCTTTCTAGAAACTCGCTACGAGTCTGTTCTTCTACAATGGCGGACACTTTAAAGGCAGATGGTGAAAAATAGGAATTGCTCTTTTCCTATAACATAGTTTAGTATCAATAAAATCAGGAAGTAGAGAAACTCAGCTTAAAAATGGAACTTTGTACTATGGTAAAAAAAAAAAATCCTGCAGTGAGATTTCACAAGAAGGACAAAAGAGTCTGAAATTCATGATGTTTAGATTTTATGTCATTATCTCAGAGTCCAAAGTTGTGAGGATTTGTGAGATTTGCCGAACCCCATGCTTGTGGAAACAGAGGGTCCCTTAGAGGGTTGTCATAGTTTTAAATGTGAATACGCAGGCTCATGTGTTTGAACACTTACTTGGTCCCCAGCTAGAATTACCATCAAAGGTTCTGTAACAAAAGGTGTGGAGCCTCTCTAGGGGAAGTGGGTCACTCTGGAACGTCCTTGAGATGTACACCCTGGTGTCTTTCTGTTTGCTCTCTACTTTCCCACTGCAGATGTAGTGCGATTCATTGCCCACATTCCTCTGCTGCACTTTCTCAGCCTTGATGGACTATACTCTCCCCCCTCCCCATATAAGCCAAAATAAACCCGAGTTGTTTGGTCAGGTGCTCTATGTCACAGCAAGAAGAAAATAAACTAGGGTTTTATTTATTTATTTATTTGGTGGATAAAATTCTGGCTCAGCAAGCATAAGACCTTAGGTTGAGTTCCCAGCATCTGTGTAAAATGCCTGCCACCTCCTCAGTACAACATCCACCACCCCTGAGGGGACCTTCTGCATTTGCAGCCAGAGTGAGAGGGAAGGAGTGCCTGGATGGCATTGCCTTCTCATGACCCTCCTCCTCCTTTAGTGAGAGAACACCACGTGTTCTTCTAGCAGCAGCAGAAAGCCTCCTATATGACCACAGAGCAAATCAAAGCCCTGATACTAGGTCAGCGGCGTCCACAGCATCTTATTGCTGCACTAGTTTTCTAGATTGTTTTCTTCTCTACTGTTGGGACTGTGTCCCTCCTGATGTCATGCTGACTTCTGACAAAGGAGGAAGGCCCTCATAGGGAGACCGGGAGCTGATTCTTCACTGTTTGCACCACTTCCATCTACAAGATGAAGATGAGACTACTCCTGAGTAAGGGTGAGCACAAAGGCGCTGTCAGCTGTTCTTTTCTAACATTAAATAGGCATGGAAGACACCAAATGCATTGCTCCTTCAATGCTGAAACCTCATAGGATGGTAAAAAGAATATTGTGATGGAGAACAGAATAAACAGAGGAAGAGAGGGTGGGGGAGAGAAGATCACTGAAGTTGAGATTCACGCCATTCACAGAACAGAATGTTCCAGAACTGCTCAAAGAAAGGAAGACATTGACCAGCTAAGGATGAAGTCAGGGCATGATGTTGGGACCTGAAGCCTTCAACTCAAGGGCTACAGGATGGAAAACTGCAGGATGCTCAGAGAGAGAAAATGGGAGGAAGAGCAAGCCCTGCTTAGAGGTCAGATCCCCTGTCCCCTGCTGGTCTCCAGGGAAGGAAGAACATGAGATCAGACACACAGGGCAGGGAGGGACACAGGCAAGCCACATGTGCAGAGGGCAGCAGGCTATTGTAAAGTGTAGTTCACCAAGGCTTCAATCTTACTCGGAGGATGAATTAACACCTTGATATTGTTACATCTCCCAGGTTAGGTTTTAATGGTTTCTCAAACTGTGAATCAACCTACAGCTTCATCTATAACCCCCAGCTGTAGGTGTAAGGAACGTGCTGGGAGTCAATTGCATTTAGGTTCCTCATGACTCTAGCAGTAGACTGTGATACCTCATGAGGAGGGCAGCTTCATGAGCAGAGGAAGGTAGAGGCTATTGTAAAACAGAGGAGGAAGTCTGCAGAGATTTGCTTTTAGCCCATCCTCATATGAAATCAATACAAGAATGAGTCAACACACAGATTCTAAAAGACACATTCTTAGATGCACAGAGGGAAGGGTCCCACCACACCGACTTTATGTTTAGTGATGAAACAAATGGAAAGAGTCCTAGAGAAATCAGCAGTTGTGTAGCTTCACCAGGAGATGTTGGCAATGGCTCCTAAACCTGGTTCCTCTCAGTGCTCTACCTTCTGTCAAATCAAAGAGATCCAGGATTCTTCCAACTATGGACCATTTGGTGGCAAAGAATTTTCCTTATTCTCATTCTGGAAATGTCTGCCTAATAATACATATTCATGGAAGACAGGGTAGATGGCAAACGGATGAGTGGATATTTGGTTGGATGAATACATCAATGAACAAAAAAAGTAAGAAAGAAACAAGATGACAAAGAAATCAGGACAAGTAGATATAAATACCATACAATACTCTGTCTCGCAAGGATCCTTTTCTTCTATGACCCTAGCATATTCCCTGATGCTGACACCAGCCACTCTTCTTCACCAGACTGTGCCTCTGTCCCAGCCTCCTCAGGGCATCCTTTACATCCTTGTTGTGCAGACTGTAGATGAGGGGGTTGAGCATGGGGATCACCAGGGTGTAGATGATGGAGACCAACTTGCCCTGCTCCATGGATGCCATACCTCCTGGCTGGCCATATATAGCAAAACCAGTTCCATAAAACAAGGATACAGCTGTCATATGGGAGCCACAGGTAGAGAAGACCTTGTGCCGCCCTGACCCTGACTGCATTCTGAGGATGGTCACTGTGATGTAGCCATAAGAGATGATGACCACAAGAACAGCACACACAATGATGAACCCACAGATACCAAACATGACAAGTTCATTGAGAGTCGTGTCTTCACAGGCTAGCTTGATCAGTGGGGGCACATCACAGAAGAAGTAATCGATGTGGTTGGAGCTGCAGAAGGGCAGCTGGAATGTGAGGCTTGTCTGGACAATGGCGTTCAGGCAGCCAACACAGAAGGTACCCAGAACCAAATGGGCACAGGTTGTAGGGCACATATTCACAGAGTATCTTAAAGGACTGCACATGGCCATGAAACGGTCATATGCCATCACAGCTAAGAGTACAGCTTCGGTGGCACCCAACAAGGTGAAAAGGAAGAGCTGAGTGGCACATCCCTCAAAGCTGATGACCTTGGAAGAGGAGAAAATGTTGGCTAGAGTATTGGGCACAATAACAGAAGAGAGGCAGAGGTCGACAAAGGACAGGTTCTTGAGGAAGAAGTACATGGGGGAGTGCAGGCCGGTATCCAGGGTGATGACTGTGATCATGGTGAGGTTGCCCAGGATGGTCAGCATGTACAGAGGCAGGAAGACAGCAAAGAGCAGGGCCTGGGTCTCTGCACTTCCTCCGAATCCCACCAGCACAAACCCCTGCAAGGACACTGCTGATAGATTTCCATTTCTGTGGACTGGTTTGGACATGAGTGTGGACAGCAGAAGAGAGAGTGGGGGAGGCAGAGAAAGGGAGCAGATCTCACTAGTACAATTGGATGTTCCACAGGCTGCAGGTACTTGTTGGTGACATGCTTGTCTCTTGTGCAAAATTCAGTAGCTGCTCTGATATCTTTTCAGATGAGCTGGTGAGACCATGTGATTCATGAGGTTGTGCTGAGCCCCCCTGTGTGGAAGCCTGAGCTCATACGTTGAGAATATAAAGAGGCTTCCAGACTTAGTGACTGTAAAGATTTTTCAGTATCCCTATGCCTTCCTCTGGTTCCTGTGCTCACACTACCAAGGGACACCCCTGAGCAGTACCATTGAAGCAGCTCTCTCCAGAGTCGCATTAAATATTCCACAGATATTTGAAATAGTCTCACTATTTCAAAAATGTTCATGAGGACAACGTACCCTCCAATAAATTTGGAGTGGGCGATTCTGTCCTTTGTAGGGTGGCTTCACAGCAAGAAATTGCCCTTTCCATCTTCAGATTGTGTCTATGTCCTTCACAAGACTCTGATCTAATCTCAGAAGCTGTGGCCCAAATGCTGGCATAGAGTGACAATCAGACTCTTCTTGATGTGAGCAGTTCCCGTCAATGTCTAGAGTTTGGAAATTAGTGTGAGGGGGCAGCACCATGTCCTGAGAAAAACCAGGACACAATCATGGCCTCTAACCTGATCTCATTGCCAGCTCTCTTCCCTGCTCCAACTTCAGCTTTGGGGTTCACAGGGTCTTACTCCTTGTTGTTTGAGTCCAGATGAGGCTGGCCTCTACCCAATTTATGGTTACTTTCTCTTCTCTTTATGTCCAGTCTGGAATGCAGACAAATTTCCTGTTGGTAGCTATGATTGCTACTGTTTGTCTCAGGAGTAACATGGGAGGCTGCCTAGAGTAAAACAGAATATCTGCTCTCCATTAGCCTTGAAGCTCAGGGACATCCTTCAGGTGTGTGGATTCAGCTTTTGTAGTGTCTACCATACACTGCACACAATGAAATCATGGAATCTACAGGACTCTATATGAGCCTACCATATACTACAGAGCTGACTTTACCACACAAGATGGAAGGCATGTAGGAAACTTTGTGCTCACAGTTGACACACTCACAGAGATCTAAGTACTTACCACATGGGTTTCCCTTGTGACCAGTGTGATGTGTATAGATATGTATTCACCACAGCTGGTCCTATAGTTCCTGATGGAGCAAGGAGAAGCCTAATCTCTCCCGCTTGTCAAGGATCAAATACATCTAGAGACATATGTGGAAGGAGAAGGAAGCCATGGAAGGTCTGCTGTGGGAGAACAGTGTTCCAGTGACAGTAAAGACACAGCCTGTGCTCCTCTTAGCCTTGCCCCTCCTAAGCCATCAGCATCACTGTGTCCTGTGATGGATGCAGAGCTTCATCCTACATGACTGCAGAATTGGAGCTGGTGTTCCAGATGGTGACCCTGTGTGGGACGAAACAGAACTGCTAACTGTGACCTGAACTAATGTTAGGCTTGATCACCATAGGATGCCATTGTCTACAGAGTTAGTCCACAATTATTCCTGAGCACCCACCCCTTGTGTCTGCCATGTATGGTGTCTTCTACTTTCAGCTTCCTTGACAGATAACATGCTGATCTTATCTTATGTAGGTGAGACTCAGGACTCACACAAAGTCAGATACCACCATCCATGCTCCTCAGGTCCCCATGCTATTGAGGCTGGTCTGTGCTGAAGATAGAATAATAGGTTCCTTTTCTTTCTTGAGGTCAGCTATTTCTTGGCAATAGAATGAGATGGGTATGGGCAGAGTCCAGGTGTAGACATGGACTGAGAGTCTATGTGTGTAAGTCCTGGCTGCAGCAGACTCTGTGTCTTGTGAAGTGTGAGGTCTGGGTTTCCTGGCCTTTCTTCCTCTTCCATATCTGTTATCAGGGCAGTGTGTGGGTATCTATAGTTGGGGTCACTCTTGGGGAGGATGCTCTGCATGATTGAGCTGGGACTTGCAGTCTCCAGCGGCCAATTAGGGAGCCTTTATCCTCTTTGGCATCTGGGACCAAACTAAATGGCCTCCAGAGGTATACCAGAGACACTGGACAATCTCTTTCTCATAACCACCCTCTCCTGGTGAGTTGGCAGGAAGCCTGGGATTCTGAGGAACCTGGGGAGACTCCATCAGGAGTTTGACAGATGACTCAGAGGGATCCTAGCCCAGTGTCCAACATTACAGCCGTTACCTGGGTGGGCCATCAGAGCCTCCTGACCACAGCATTTCCTCCTCTAAGTTCCTGGCTATACTGATATGAGGAAAGGAGGTAGGGAGTCCTGTATGGGGCTATTTAGCCTCCTCCTCCCACAACCAAGAGTCAGTCTTCTCCATCCATTGACCCTTTAGTACCATCAGGAGCCTGGGTAGATGGTCTCAGTTCTCTTTCTGTGCCTTTGTGGTTATTTTAATCTAACACAAATCCTACTTAAAGGATTAAGAATTCAAGCCAATATGTAACAATCCCAACCAAATGTATAGCTCTTCTCTTGGTGGGAGACCCTTTCTTCTCTGGGTGGTGAGGTCTGACTTCCACCCATGCCTTCACTCTGCAGTCTCCATCTGCTGTCTTTATGAGGATGAACCACAACACTCTCTCCTTCTGCACTGATAATGTCCTTGACAGCTCATTGTGGGCAACAACTTGGTCAGTGCCTGGGTTTTATGCCTCCACTGAATTCCTCCATTATCTTATCTCACCACTTCCTGCCACTTTCTTGATTCCTTTCTATAAACAATTCCTCCTCTCCCTTCATTTTCATGTATGTGTGAGTGTGTTTATGTGTGGTTTTTTTTGTGTGTGTGTGAAATGTGCGCACACATTCCAAGTACTTTTATTAAGCTTGCTTACTGCCTATGTTTGGGTTGTGGTTATTTACTTGATTGAGGCCAACTTATCCATGGCTGAGACTGATACTCCTAACAGTATTTGAAAGTTATTAAGAGTCCTCAATAGGTCTCTCCTAATTCATGCCTTTTGTGTTCTAATTTTCTTAAACCTATTTATAATCTAGGCAACTGACAAAATCTCCACTCTATATTTTCAGGAGCAATTTGTAATCCCCATTTTGGCAATGCCTTCTTTACTTCTTTAAACATTCTTTCTAAAGTATCTATGTTTGAATCAGACAGCAAAATGCCATCAATGTAATGGTAAGTTATATATTTAGGAAATTATTTACATATTATTCCCAATGGCTTACTTACAGAGTATTGGCATAGGGTGGGGCTATTGAGCATGCCCTATGGAAGGATGGTCCACTGGTTGAGAATTATTGTAAGCAGGCAATGTGAAGGCAAATTTTTCTCTGTCCTTTTTTTTTGTAAAAGTATAGTGAAGAAACAATCTTTCAAATCAATAACTATAAGAGACCATCCTTTTGGTAAGAGAAGGCAGAGGAATTACAGGTTGTGGAGGGCCCATATGTCGAATTACCTTATTGACAGATCTTACATCTGTCACCATTCTTCATTTACCTGATTTTTTAAAACAATAAATTCCAGAGAATTCCAAGGGCTGATTGAGTCTTCAATATGGTAAGCATCTAGTTGCTCCTGTACTAGCTGTTTCTAAAGCCTGCAGTTCATCTTCTATTTACATCCACTGTTTAACCCATATTGGTTTCTTTGTTAACCATTTAAAGTTAGGGCTGTTGGTACCTCTAAAGGTTTAATAGTTGCTTTGTGTTCTTGTACAGCCTGAATGGCTGGTGACCTTTGTGTATAGTACCTTATAATATCCTTACCTAAATTATGAGTTTCTGGGACTGCAGGATGTTAATCTAGGTATTCCATTGCTGCAGCATGTCACGACCCCATAAATTTACTGCAATATTAGCCACATATGACCTCAGCTTTCCTCTCTGTCCTTCTGGCCCTATGAAGTCAACACATCTCATGCTTCATTTCACTTGAGATAGGGTTCCAATTCCTAATAATTGCACATCTGCCTCTTGAAGAGGACAATTTGGATGCCAAGATTCTAGAGTAATGATACTCATGAATACCCGTGTCAATCAAACCCACAGTTACAATACCATTTATACATACTCCTAGTTTTAGTTTTTTGAACATTCAAAGAATTCTGCCAGAATATAGATTTTCTACTTCCTGATGGATTTTTAAAATTATCCTCCATGTTTATTTCATCATATAGAATAGTATACTTCTTTACAAAAGGCTCTAGATTTTTTTATTTTTCCTAGTGATATATGTTCTCCACAGTAACTGGGTATGACTGGACTGATTTTGACATGGGGTCCTGCAAGAGGTACCCCCAATGAAGTTTGTTGGTATCGGGTTGCCTTCTCTGTCTTTTTTCAATATGCATTCATTGGTGCAATGTTGGGCTTTGCCACACCTTCTACATATACCTGAATCCTGAGTCCTCCTGTTTTTACCATTCTGAGAGGAGATATTATTCCTAGGAATTTCTTGTCTACAATCCCTTCTCAGATGTCCTATTCTACCACAATTGAAACATTTGGCCTTTTGATGTCTCCTTATTCCTTTGTAAATTGCTTCCTCTACCCAAGATTCAGTATTACAGTCAAATGTCTCAATGTTCATTGTATGCAGGATCCATTCATTCATTGGTGCTGATATAACCTTTAAAGCCCCAAGTTTCTGTTTGAATTCTAAGTTGGCATTTTCAAAAGCCATAGATTCAAGGAGCACCTGTCTAGCTTCTGTGTCTGCTATTCCTATTAGTACTGCCTTAGTTAAACTTTGTAAAAAGTCTCTGACCCTGTTTAATCCTGGTATTTGCTTTACTTTGTTTTCCTGGTTCTTTTTTTAAAATATTTATTTATTATGTATACAATATTCTGTCTGTGTGTATGTCTACAGGCCAGAAGAGGGCACCAGACCTCATTACAGAGGGTTGTGAGCCACCATGTGGTTGCTGGGAATTGAACTCAGAACCTTTGGAAGAGCAGGCAATGCTCTTAA